GTGCGCAATAAATATTTGTTGAGTGAATGAATAAATGCATTTGATAATGCCTTAATGTTTTTGGATAGAAACCATTAGCCCTTTTCTAGTCCCATTTTTATATGTTCTCCTCAGGTAATTTCATTCCTGTGGCTTTTTCTGCCACGCTCACTGTTCGCCACCCACCCAGATCGTTGCTTCTGAGGTAACCAGCTCTAACCTGTATTTGACTGTTTTTCTGTCTCCCATATTTGTTGTTTATGAAATTTTAACTTATATAATCAAAGATACTCTTGACCTTTGGAGGACAGGAGCCAACGGGACCTGCGTTAATATTAAAAAATGCTAATAGATTTTAACATTTTATATTTGGAAGAGACTTAAATTTCATCTACTCCATAGCTTCACATGTTGATGAAGAAATTGAGATCCAAGATAATGACAAACCAAAACTTTCACAGGTAGTGTCCAAAATTTCCAGGACGCATTCCTTTTTTCATATTAGTTATTGGCCTACTTAGGCTCTACCTCTCCTTTTGCTAATGTACACACACACACACACACACACACACACACACTCCCCACTTTACTGAGATATAATTCACATACCATAAGGTTCACCCTTTGAAAGTGTGCAATTCAGTGGCTTTTAGTATATTTATAGAATGTGAAACCATCGTCACTATTTAATTTTAGAACATGTATATCATCCCTAAAAGAAACCCCATACCTATTTACAGTCACTCTCCATCCCGCGCCTCTTCTCTATCCTTCTCCTACCCTAGGAAACCATTAATCTGCTTTCTGTCTCTATGGACTTGTGTATTCTGGGTATTTCACATAACGAATCATATAATATGTGGCCTTTTGTGTCTGGCTTCTTTCACTTAGCTTAATGATTTCAAGATTTATCATGTTGTAGTATTTCCTTTTTTATTTTGTTTTCTTTAATGAAGCCCCTGTCTCTAACTGCCTCATTTCAATATCTTTGAGCAAAAATTAAATTCTGAATATCCCAGAAGCCAAAGGCAAAAAGAAAAAGCACCAAAAGATCACTCAGTTCTAGTTAGTCATAAAGGGATTATGAAGTTTATCAAGTGCACAGTTATTTTTCTGACATTATATGTTAAGAGTAATCATTGATGTAGTCCTTTAATTTCACCATATGGCTCTGTCTTCTGATAATTTAAGGTGTTTTTCTGGAATTCTTATTTAAACTATTTCCAGCTTCCCCTTAGTTGGGCACTGTGAGCAATGTTGAAAATGGGGAGAGGACTACCTTGTGGTGTCCTCAATGATGTTTCTTTTTCTGGGTCCAAGGAGGAATTTTTATTTAATTTTTAACAACATTCAAGTTTAACCTCCACTACTAATTCTCAGGGTCTTTCTTCCGTTTTTTATCACTATCTTACTTCTGTCTGAAATGTTTGAAATATTTTTACAACTTTATTCTTGAAAGAGTCAAGTACTTTGCCAACTCTGATTTTAAAATAGGTCTCAAATAATACAAATTCTCAAAGAAATGGGGGAAAGGGCAGGGAGCTCTGCCTAGGAAGAGATAAAAAGAGGAATCTGATTGTTTGCTGATGTCTGCCCATGGGTTTGGGAAATGGAAGGTTCTGGCATATATGCTACATTTCACATATGTTTTTTCGCTTATTTTGTTTTAATTTTCACTTTCATCTCTAATCCCTACTTGCATTCATCTCCCTCAAATACATGCTTTCCTTATGTTTGATATATGTCTTCAAGAGACATGTAGTTTTATATAGCATTTAGTGTTTTGAGTGTGACTGAGTTATTACATAAATAATATTGTGTCATAAATCTCATTCTGTTGCTATTTTTAAGTAATTTGTTACATTTCAGTTACAGTTGATATACAATATTAGTTTCAGGTGTACAATGTAGTGATTAGACATTTACAAGTTTGTAACTTAAGAAATGATCACCCAGATAAATACATGACCTTTTGGACACCATACAGAGTTATTACAATATTATTGGCTATATTCCTTATGCTATTCTTTACATCCCCATGACTATTTTGTAACTACCAATTTGTACCTTTTAATCCCTTCCCTCTCTTCACCCACACCCCTCAGCCCTCCTCCCATCTGACAACCATCGAAATGTTTTCTATATCTATGAGTTTGTTTCTGTTTTGTTTGTTCATTTATTTTGTTCTTTAGATTTCACATATAAGTAAAATCATATGATATTTGTCTTTCTCTGCACAATACCTTTCTCTCTCTCTCTCTCTCTCTCTCTCTCTCTCTCTCTCTCTCTCTCTCTCTCCTCCCTCCCCCCTCTCTCCATATATATATCACTCTTCTTTATCCATGCATTCATGATGGACACTCAGGTTGCCTCCATATCTTGGCTATTGTAAATAATGCTGCAATGAACATATGGATACACATGTTTGCCTTAAAAGTAGTGGTTTGTGTTTCTTTGGATAAATACCCAGAAGTGGGATTACTGGGTCCTTCTTTGTCTCTTGTTATAGCCTTTGTTTAAAGTCTGTTTTGTCTTGCATAAGTATTGCTACCTCAGCTTTTTTTTTTTTTCATTTCCATTTTCATGAAATATCTGTTTCTACCCCTTTACTTTGGAGAGGCTAAACTTCAAGCCAGGGCCAGCTGCCACCAGTGCTGAGCTTGGGACTGCACAGCAAGAGATATGAGGCACACCAAGGCCAGATGCTGCTTTTTTTTTGGGGGGGGGGGAGGAGGGATATGAACCTTTAAGAGATTTTAAGAAAGTCTTCAGCCTGAGCCAAGGAAGGTTGTGTGCATGGAAAAACCCCTTGAAGTGGCTGGGGTGGGCCCAGAATTTGGGTGCAGTTGGGTCTCAGGGAATCACCAAGGTGGGGCAAATGGTGTTAGCTAGGTTGATGGAGATTCAGATCTGGAGCCTTCCTACTATTGCAGTCTGGGTGGGGAGAGGGCTCAACAGTGGAACAGTGGCTTCTGCCAGCACTTCTGTCTGGGAGAAAACTGCCCCTCTAGCCCTCACCCTGAAGTCAGACAATTCTGTTCATCCCTGTATGTCCCTGGAGCCTTTCAAACTGCTACCCCAGCTCTGGATCTCAGAACGAGTTCGTCAGTGAGTGAGTCCCTGCACGGGCCCTTTAAGAGGAGTGCCTGGGACTCTCCCGCAGCCCTCCACCTCATTCAGCCACCATCCCTGCTGGTTTCCACAGCCAGAAGTCGTGGGGACTTCTCTTCACGGCACTGGAACCCTGGACTGGGGAGCCTGGTGTGGGGCTGGGCCCCTTCACTTTTCAGGGGGGACCTCCACAGCAGAGGTATCCCTCCCAATTTTTAACCACCACATGTGTTTGTGGGACCAGCCCATTTTGTGTCTCTACCCCTCCTACCAGCCTCTAGGTAGCTTCTTCTGTATATCCTTAGTTACAGGACTTGTGTTCATCTAGCCTTCAGGCGATTTTTGATGTTGGTCAATCTGTAATTTGGTTGTAATTTTGATGTGGTCATGAGATGAGGCAAGCACAGCATTTACCTACTCCATCATCGTGACTGGAAATCCCTGTTGCTATGTATTTTTAACTCACCACTAAACCTTTAAAACCTTTGCATGTTCCTGGCTTTACACAGAATGTATTGGTGTAGCGGCTGCATAATATTTTATGGTATGTATCCACCACAATTTACTTTTCCATTCCTCTAGCAATGGACACCTGCCAGAACCAGTTACATACTGAATGAACATCCTCATACTTGTCTCTTTAGAGACCTGAGGGAAAATGGCTTTGGTTTATATGTCCAGGAGACATAGGACCTAAATACACTGTTGTTTTTATCCAGTGCCTCTTGTGCATAACTAGCATCCTCTCAGCCCCACTTCCTGCTCTATCCATCTCTGCAGAGACCAGAGCTTGGCAGGCACACAGGATGAAACCAGCTTGGTGCTGGTATAGTGCAGTAGGGCCTGTCCTCTCATTTCCTGCTCTGGGACTCCTCTAAGGCAAAGATGTGGAACACAGGGAACCTGCTCAGTACTCATGTCTGCACAATGAAATGGGGTGATGGGGGAGGGGTTAATAGGAGCCAAGAGATAAATACTTTCCTTTGTGTCATCGGGGGGACAGTTCTGAGACATAGTTCATAAGGCTCCTGCCAAGATCCCTGTGGGATTGAGTACAAGTTGCCAGCTGTGGTTGACAACTTGAAAATGCTTCCTTGTCTGTTCTTCCCTATTTCAGTCCCCCAGTTCCTCATTCTTGCTGTCTGTTATTCCTTCCCAAATGAACTACCTATAGACAAGCTTTCAGAGGCTATGCAGTGTACATTTTTCCTAAGTACTGCCAGATTGTTCTCCAAAGGATCTGAGCTCTGATGTGGATAGTTTGGCCAATGTCCAACTTGTGGATCAGACCTGGGTCATTTCAAAACTTCAGAGAGCCACCTTTTGACAAGAGGCTTTGCCTCTGCTTGGAAAACTGCTCCCTGTATCAGATCTTCCACCTGTGGGTCAGTGATTTTTCTTTTTACACTTACTGCAGATATTTCACAATGTGGTTGTAATATGTATACATGCCCTGGTAATTATAAAATACCTCTCCCAAACATTGATCTCTGCCTGATCTCATGATTCATGACTTCTTAGGCATGGACAGTGCACTCATCCATAGATGTGTTGTAACAGAGTATTAAGAAAATTTGCTTTCCAATACTTGTTAATATGGAAACATCATAGGTTTATATTTTCCTGTGAAGGGTGTAGCTGTCAGTCCTAGAATATGCACTTGTTCTGTCACATTGGGTTTACTTAGGAAAAAATGATCATTTCTTTGAGTGGACATGTGTCAATATCAATGCTTGTGTGTGCGCGTGCCAGGTGACTCTATGGTGTGGTTCCACAGGAAAAAAGCACAGGTCATTACCATCTGGGAGAAAAGGATGGAAGAACTTCCTTAAGGGGATATATGTTCCTTCTCATTTAGGAACAGCTTTTAAAAATCTGATATTCCCCTTCTGCTTTTGTTGTGTGAACAGGTGGTTAATACATACACCCCAGGAAAGAAGATTTGGCTTGAAGGTGTGGTGACCACCTCAGCTGGAGGCACAAACAATCTATCCGATTCATATGCTGCAGGATTCTTGTGAGTAACACTTGCAATTGCACTCCCTCGGGCTTTGAGGAAAGGACAGTGAAACTCCGACAATGCTCAGTATTCTGCCCATTGTGTGTGGGGGGGGCCCTTTCCCATTGAATATTCTTTATCTATTTTTTTGTGAATGTGTTTCAACAAACAGAGATTAGGGACTTCTCTGGATACTAAAATGTCAAGCACAGGCATTAGAGCAAGATGATAGTAGCAGCAGTCATAAAAGTAATAGGAAATTTATTTAATGTCTCTACTGCAAGACACAGTGCTGACAACATACATTTCTCATCTAATTTTCATCAGAGTCCTGGAAGATAGGTAAGCGTAATCACAGGGTTTTTGCCCTTTGGAAACTTCTAATTGGAGGAAGGGAGACAAGAGCTAAAGCCACAGGAGATAAGTGCCGTAACAATAATAATTTTAACTCAGTAGTGCTTACTGTGTGCCAAGTACTGTCTAAAGTGCTTTATATACAGTTAGTAATTTAACAACCAGGGAAATAGACACTATTACTTTATGACAACCCAGTGAGATTGATGCTATTATTAGTTAGTGGCAGAGATAGGGCTCAAACCCAGGCAGTGTGCGGCAGAGTCCAGCCTTTTTGCATCTACCTCAGAACACCTGTCTTTCTGCTTCACATGGTCTGTCTACAAAAGGGAGGTGTGAAGGCACCAAGACTTTCTTTAGGAGGATCAAGAAGGGCTTCATGGGAAAATTGGAATTTGAAAGGGACGTAGATGACTCTAATTTCTGTAGGTAAAAAATGGTGGTGATGGGAGAGGGGAGCATTCTCAGCTGAAGGAACATGGTGGGCAAAGGAACAGGGGCAGGGAAATGATTCGTGTGACGAAAGCCTCGGCGTCTGCAGAGATGTGGTGAGGGCTGAGACTATCGAGGGGGGCTACCAGCAAATCATGCAAGGCCTTGAAAACCAGGCAGAGGAAGTGAGGTCTTGTTATGCTTAGTGGCAAGCCAATGAGGATTTGGGAAGAAAGAGGCACCATCTGACGGGTGGTTTAAAACGGCTTTGGCAATAGTATGCTCAAGAGTTTGGAGAGGCAAGGGATGGGAAAATGAATGTGAAGCTACTGCAGTTGTCTGGAGAACAACTTAAGCCAGAGGCATAAGGGCCCCTGGCTGGCCTGCCAGTATTACGTAGCAGGGACAAACCCCTCAGGACCACAGACCAACCTGATCTGGTCTAATCCTGTGGTCCTGGCTTCTTTGGCTGAGCAAGGTCCTCTTAAGAAGCTTCTTTAATACATTTGTGGAAGACAAAGCAGGCCCGTCAAGTAGATTGCCTTTACAGATGGAATCCTGCAAATGCAGATGAAGAGAATGAGTCAGTGTAATACACGGTGATACCTTGGGTCTTCCATCTGTGTGTGCTCAGCCTGTAACATTGAGCAGCACAGAGCAGTTGTTCAATGAGCATGGTTCCGATGAAATGGAGTGAATCAGCATTTGATACAGTGCTGCTGAGAGTCTTCTTTCAAAACCAAACTCCCCGCTGGGTTTCACTGTGAGCCCTGGGACAAGGGCGAGAAGTGAGGTTGGCAGTCAGTACAATAGGCGGCCTCTTGGAATCAGCAGTGAAATGGATTTGCTCAGCCGTTGCAAAAGAACTCTGCTGCAGGGCTCAGTAAGCAGCCCAGTTGTACTGAGTGTTTTCCTGAGCATTCTTCTCTTTAGGGAATGGTGTGAAATGAGAAATATTACCGACCTTCATGGAGGGAGCTGGAGAGAGACCTGTCTTCTCACGGGCATCAGCCAAATATCCATAGATCTCTGAAGTCACAGCAGACCACAGATAAACACAGTTGTGTAGATTTGAGTTGTAGCTTAGTACCCATTGCTTGGTTGGCACGGATCATATGAAAACTAGCTCATTCTGCTCCCCTACCTCTTTATCACCCATTTGCTCTCCCTCCACTGGCAGTTACCCAGCATTATGCCCTTTGAGTCCAGTTCTCCAAGGGGCATAAATTGCTTTCTGGGGAAAAAAAAGTAAAGCATTATAGGAAGCTCTAGAAAGTTAGCAAGAAGTTGGAAAGAAGGCATTTTTTAGCCTTTTTTCAATATATGGCCTAACTATGAGCTTACGAGTACACATGCCCATGTAGGCATGAGTCAGAATTCTCTGCTGTCTGTTATTCAAGGGTAGTTTTCCCAATCCAGGCTTAGAGATACTCTGATGCACTACAAACATCCTTGGCAAAGCACTGTGTCTCCAGCTTCTAGTGGTGTCTGGCACATAGTAGATAGTCAATAAACTTTTGTGGGATAAAAAATAACAGTAATGGTAGCATCTTTGGTGGAATATTCCAGCCATCTTACCACCTTTCTCTACCTGACCCGAAAGGGAGGCTTGGAACATCACTTATTTCCCCCTCTCTGAGGCATCAGCCCAGAATTCATGTCATAGTTCTACCACAGGACATTTACTACTGTGTCTCAGTGGCTAAAGGAAAAGCTAAACTTCTTATCCCAATTTCACAGAGTTGCTAAATTAATAAAAAGAATAAAGGCAAGTAGCTTAGGCATGTGATCTTCCAAAAATAATTTCAGTTCCCTGGGTCACAATGTACTAATCTGAACAACAACTACAAAAAAGGTTAAATTATTGTCAGATTTTCTTTTTCATCTAAAACTTTTGTTTTTTTGCTTTGTTTTGTTTTATTTTGGATTTGTAACTCTATCAGTAAATATTTGTTAGCTTTTATGAGACGAAAACACAATTGTCAATGTGGAGAAGATTTGAAAATATTAATGTTAGTCATTCATAATATAAAAATTCACTTGCTCTTTACTCCAGTAAGGAAAAAACCTTAATTCTACAAGTCACTGGTTTGGAGCTCCAGATGGTTTCAGATTTGGGAAATCATAACTATGCATAATATGTCCGTAGTATGCTGAATGATGATTCTTAAAGTTCCTAGAGTCTAATTTGATCCATATCAATTTCAACATAACAGAGAGTATTAAACACCGATAGTGTGCTAGGAGCTGTGATGGGTGTTTTGGGTACAAAGCTGCAGCATCTGTCTGTTCTTGATGAGCTCATAACCAACTAAGTGACGCTGGGGAAGTAAGCAAGTGATTAGCATTCAGTGGGCCTGCAGAAGGGGTGAATGAGAGTCCAGGAAGTGGAGACAAAGAGGGTGCTACTGTTGGCTGGGGCAGCAGGGGTTAGAAGGAGGTGACACTTACTCGGTGATTAGCAGATGGAAGGAAATTTGCCAAATGAGGTGAGTTAGAGGGAGACAGGAAGGGACTTCTAGGCGGCAGTTAAAACATGTATAAAGACTCAGGTGAGTATGTGAAAGCATGGCGTATTAAGGCAGCCAAGGGTAGTTTCATGTGGCTTAGAGCCTGGGGAGTGGCGTTCAGGATGAGAGAAGAGGAAAGGAGAAGTGAGAGATGAAGTTAGACACCTATGCTCTGGAGAGATTGTGAAATGCCTTATATCCTGAGAAGACAGAAGCTCTCAGTCACAATTCTTATACATATATTACCACAATTAGAAGTTTCCCTATATTTCAGGAGTAGGGATACAAAGAGAGAGAGAAAAGTAAATGAATTTATGAATAAACGAATTGAATGTGTAGATAATGAAGGCAGTGTTGGAAGAACCAAGAGGGCAGCATTTCTGAAGGATAACATGCCCTGGAAACTGGGTCTTGGGCCCAGTGGGTTATGGGATAAGTGTTTAAGCAATGTAGATCCTCCACTGTGACGTGTACGCAGCGGCAGCATATTTGAGTCCCTGTATAGATAGCTATAATGCCAAGGAAAATCATTATCACATTGATTGCTGACAGTGATATATGAGGAATGCAAATGACTGGACCTCTCTGGCACAGGCCACAGGGGTATGTGGGTTAGAGTCACATGAGAGGTACACGTGCAGTGATAGGGTGTAAGCAGGAGAGTTTAAGTGATGAAAACTATAGTGTGTGCACTCCTGTGATTATGAGTCCTGTGTCCGGGAGCTGGGGAGGTAATAATGAGGCTTACAAGTGGCTAGGGTGTTCATTTTATTTGTGAATATTACAGGAATAAGAGATAAAGCAGTAGCAACAAGCTGTTTTATGACCAAGGGCAATTCATTTTACTCCCCTGGACCTCTGTTTCTTTTCCTATAAAGTGAAGAGGTTGGATTTGATAATCTCTAAAATCTCTTCCAGCTGTGTATTCAAGGCTTAAAATAATCTTCTCCTTTAAAGTACAAGGTAGGGTGGAGGATTGGGGCAGGGGGTTGTCACTTTGAGGGGTAAAAAGTATAACTGTTGCCCTGTGTTGTACTCCTAAAACTAATTTAAAAAATAAATAAAATAAAATAAAGTAAAGTAAAGTAAAATAAAATAAAATAAGGAAGGGACCAAATAGTAAAAAAAAAAATAAGAAGAAGAAGAAGAAGAAAGTACAAGGTAGATTTGGTGGTGGTGGAGGGGGTGGGGTGTGTGTTTGTGCATGTTAGCCAATCTCTACAGAACTTGTTATATACCATTTAAAAATATATTGATGGAGCTTTTCCCCCCTGCTTTTTAGATGGTTGAACACTTTAGGAATGCTGGCCAATCAGGGCATTGATGTCGTGATACGGCACTCGTTTTTTGACCATGGGTTCAACCACCTCGTGGACCAGAATTTTAACCCGTTACCAGTAAGTATGAGAGAAAGAATCTCAGCTCTTTTTCCATGTCATTCGGTTCTTTTGATTGTGCCTTGTTCCACACTGGAAGAATTTTTCTCCTCCTTCTGTTACCAATTAATTTCATGAATTGGACAGAAGCATTCTTGACCCATTTCACAGACCTTTGGCTTCACCTCCCACCGCACCCCCCCACACACACACACACATACACATGCACGTATGCATATACACACATATATATATATATATATATATATATATATATATATACTTGTGTATATAACATATATTTATTTACTACGATAATTGTAAGAAACTTCATGCAGTTGAGATTCCACATCTACTTGTGGCCTGTTTGAACTCTGCTTGGGAGTGAATTTTTCCAGATTGTTTTCTTTTCATGCTAATAGGAGACATTAGTTAACGTCAGATGCAACATGTTGAAAGCAGATGGGAGCGTGTTGGCCAAGATGAGATACAGTAGGAACCCATTTCTTGGAGAGTGGCTGCATAAAGTGCACTTCCAGTTAGATATTGATCCCCATGTGACAACGTGGGGATTTGCCCAGAGCAACCAGCATTTCTAGGAAAGCAAAGGAGAGGGAAAACTAAAGAAGGATGGCACAAGTAGAGATCTGGGCATGTCTCATGACTTGACTGACCAATCAAAGAAACCCTGCTTAGTCCAGAAAAGGTGAATTTAGCAGAACTACTACATGGGTCATCCTTTTTATACATGTCTCAGTCATGATGAAAAGCCAGACTCCTCTCATTAGCCCATAGAATGGCCATCCCCTTTGAGGTGAATGAGTTCTACCTCAAGTAACAGAGGGACTGCTAGCCCAGGGTCAGGGGAAGGGGGCAGGTGAACCAGCCCTAGACCCTATCTCTATGCCCTGGTCCAGTGCTCCTCCTACAGAATTACTGCTACCCTGGGGTCCACAGTCAACAAACTCAATGGAACCAGTGAGTCTTCCTGCGATTTTCTTCCCTTTGCCTATTTCCAAGCCAGGAGGCCTCCAAACCTAGAACAGAAAACAGCTTGGCTCCCGACAGACAAGTCCCATGTCTCAAAAGGATTTCTCTAGTCAGAGTTCTGAGTAATTATTGTATCACTGATTGCACATCACTCCAATTCAATCACAATACGATAACTGACGGGCACAGTTGCTTTTATTCGCAGAGCCAGTATGCCTCTCTCAAAGTGTGTGCAGGGCTGGGATACAAAGGGGTAGAAAAGGAAATTTCAGTTCCTAACCATAGGGTTTTTGGTTTGTTTTGAGCTTGTAATTGTGGAGATAAAACAAAACGATAATTAGAAAAATATTCTATGAGCTGTAAGCATTAAACAAATGTAATGTCACATGAAAGTAAATAATTATTGATCATCAGGCAGTGGGGAGGGGACTAGTAATATTAATAGATAAATGAATATATAAATAATAGAGTACTGTAACAGTGGGTCGTTGAGGGCTCCTTCTGAGAGTGTTTACAATGAAGGCTTCTCCTAGAAGGTGGCATTTAAGCAAAGAGCCGGATGACAAAAAAGCAGCGGGGAGCCATATGGATTTTGCAGAAGAGCTTTCATGAAGGGGAAGGGGCTAGCACAAAGGCTTCTCAGCAGGAACATACTTGGCATGTCTGAGGAAACAAGAACACAAGGCCTGGCGGGGAAGGGGAGACTGCTTGGACATGAGGCCAGCAGGGGTAAGATCACACAGGGCTTTGTAAGCTAAAAGGAGTTTGCCTTTTATTGTAAGTAGTCTGAAAAGCCATTGGAAGGTTTTATGCAGGGAAAGAACATTTTAAAAAGATCACCCTGGTATAATGAATGCATCAAATGTGAGTCACAATTTCTTTAATAATGTGGATAATAATTAATTTACAGACTGCTTTCATATGTGGTACATCAGTAATGCTCTGAATGCGCTATCCTCCCTTCCGTCTCCCCTTCGGTTTTCTTTCTTTCTTGCCTTTAGTCTGCCCTCCAAGCATTCAAATCTCATTCAGTCTTCTTGATCTATTGCTGATCACTGTTCCTGGCAGTGGGCCACAGTGATGAACCAAAAAGACAAGGAACCCCTGGAGCTTATAATCTAGTGAGGCATACTGAGAAATGAAAAATAAACATATAAACAAGATAATTACACTTTTTCATAATTGCTCTGAAGAGAGCCTGGTGAGATAACTATGACTGTTTATACTTATTTTGCTGATGAGAAACTAATGTTATTAAGTGACTTATCCAAGGTCAGACAAGTAGTAAGAGCTGGAACTCTCAGAGTTTTTCAGTTCTAAATCCTATTTTCTTTTCACTGCGCTGCACTATTTCTCCCACTACTCTCTAGGGTGTCTGGGCTGTGGTCTGAGGCCAGTGTTTGCCTCAGAACTGGGTCTGGAGGTAGAAACAGGCGTCTTCAGGAATTGGAGAGAAGAAAACCTAGGCTAGAAAAAGATGGCCTTTGGGTGGCTAGACAGGCTTGATTTCCAGAAGTGGACAAACCTGGATTCCGTATCAACTCTCTGTGTACCTTTGCATGGCCATGTGTATGTAGGTTAAAGACGCAATTCGTCACGGCTCTGCTCTCTGCAGATGAGAGTTGCTGCAGGTGACGCCCTTTGAAACTATGGCACAAGAGACCTCTGTTGACATGTAGTGGCAGCAGAGCTCACAGAAGTTCAGAGGAATCTAAAACAAATCCCATTGGCTTAGCACAAATGAGCTGCACAGCTGTATCTCTGGAAACACCAAGCTCTAATAAAGAAACCGTATATAAAAACACTTAGAAAGGGAGCAGACTTTCTTTTTATCTTTCTTTGCGCTAATAAATTCTGCACCTCATAAGTAGAGAACTTGGCACCTGGGAGAGTGTATCCTAAGTCTCCCCTGAAAGAATTTACTAGGCCAGACCAGGGCACCCATCTGACAGACCTTGTCAGCAGGCCCCTAGAATGTGCAGCGGACACAGACCTGGGAATGGCACAGGATGCCACTTCCGAGAGTTGTACAGTTGATGACCAAACACTGCCAATAACAACTTGTGGATTTTATATTGTGATTAAGTCTTCAAGAGAGTTTGTTAAGCGCTTAGGGGATTACTGAGTTGTGTCTTGGTTGCCTCCCAGAAATATCACTTTTTTCTATTCCAGCTCCTTCAAACCTAGCTCAGCACATTTCAGGAAAGGTCTTTGTAAACACTGCTTTGTTTTTGGTTTTGTTGATGCTCTAGGATAAATTCAGAAAAAGTGGGGATCTTGGCCTAGTGGTTTCTCAAACTATATCCCCTACGACTCCTCCACCCACCCAGTCAGTTTCGATCCATGTGTAGGATTCCACCACAGCTCAGACAAGCCCATCTCCAATAGCACCATTCCAATAAAAGGTAGGAGAGAATATGAGGGTGGCCCTTTAAAAACAGAAATCTGTCCTCAGAAGAGATCATTTTCAACTACATCCTTTGTTCTTCATGGTTCTTCCTCCAGAAAAGCACCACCTCTCCTCCTGCCAAGAGATTGTCCTTCTCCTGGGAAAAGGAGAGCATTTGGTTCGGTAGTGCTTCATCACTCAGCTCCCGGCCCGCTGCCCCTGACCCCCGTACCATTGGGAAAGAGGGAACGCGTGAGTCTCCACAGCCAGCCAGCCAGCCATGGGCTCCCTGGGGAGCAGGCAATGTTTTTGCAGAAGAGAGCTGCACATTCGGTGGACATAGTCCAGATCCCACCAGCCATGGGCATTTCTCCTAAGAGAGGGCTTTGGAATTTAGCTTGCTGCTTTTTTTAAGAGCTTGATTTACAGAGCTCTTAGGGAAAGGAATGGTGAATTACTAGTCAACGTCTTCCGAACTCCCACGCCAGCATAGCAAATATAATTCAATTCAGAAAACATTGACACTTCAAATGTGTCTGGTTCTATGCTAGGTGTTCTGGGGATGTGCAGATAAATAAGATATAGTCCCCTCATCTGCAGAGCCAACAGACTGGTGTGTGTTTGTGTCTGGGAGATTACAATTTGGTCCTCCATGTAGAATAAAGTAGAAAGCTAGTTCACACTGGATTGCCTTCTCTATACTGGGTGCAGTGGTGGGATATTTAGTTTTGTTGTCAGCATTCTTTTTTGAACTGCCCCTGCTGCATAATAATAAACATTCAGTTCAGCCCCATGCACACTTATTGAACACTTGCTGTGTACGTTGTTCTGAATACAGTCAGTGGTCATAGATTGCAGTACAGCTCACTAGTCTATGGTGGGGTTAAACCTCTGGCTGTGTTCCCATAGCAACAGGATCTGAGCCAAGTCACCACTAGATGTCATTTGGCCATTGGAAAGAAACGGAATCTTCATGGAGCCTGCCTAGCTTCGCTGGGTAGCCTATCATAGGGATAAGAGCCGAGGCGTTCCATTCTTGTTTCCCTTTGAAATGTTAGACAGTGCCTTGTGTGGAACGCACAGCCATGATAGGGACCCAGCATCAGCTTAAATCTGTCTCCCTCCTGAGGAGGAACATCCAGCTACAAGCCCATGTCCCACTGATGCTGAGTTGATGCACACTTTCTTCTTATATGAAGAATACTACCTAAGTAGGAGGCCTCATGGGGAACAGCAGGAACCTGGTACTGTGCCAAGATGCACGATTCTAGTCCTAGCTCTGCCACTAATTAGATGGATATCTTTGGATTCCGGTTTTCTCGTTTAAATTGTGATAAAGATGTCTCCTCTATCTCCCTCTAAAAGATATTGTTACAACCCTTGAGAAAATCAGATGCGACAATAAGATTCTGATTTTGTGTATACACATACACATAGAAAATTACCGGAAGGGACTACATCTAAATGTCAAAAGTGGCTTTCTTCGGGTGGTGGTATTACAGAAAGTTTTTATTTTCTTCTTGGTGGATGTTTCATATGTCAAATTGCTAAAATCAGCATTCTGGCTTTTATCATCTGAAAAAAAAACACACAAGGCTAATTTTAAAAGAAATAGAATGTTTTTGAAAAGATTAAGTGCTTT